AGAGAAATCCTATTAGTTATGCCCTTGAATCCATCCACGGATACGTTTCCTCTCTCAGCAGTGCCTCTGCTTAGAGTGGGACGGCAGGGCCTTTCATGCCGCTCCAGGGGGGTCCACCTAAAGAGGACACACATGACCGCCATCCAGGCCCGCCGGCCCCTCAGTGTGGGGGATGGGTTTATGTGTGTTAGTGGTGGTGGTGTTTGGGTGGGGGGGTGTTGTGTGTATATATGTGTATATAAGCATGTGTGTGCGCTTGGTAGGGATTAACCTAGTGCTATCTCCTCAACCTCTGGTGCCATCTGCCAGTGACTTTGCAAAAATGCAAATCAGCTACCCAGAGTGCACAGCAGCTCCATCCGAACAGCCGACGAAAATAGGTCAGTCGCTCCATGCGCCGTGTGTGTCTGCCGTAGCACCCTCTGCAGCTTTGTGTGTGTGTGTGTGTGTGTTGAGAATCCAGTCTGGAGCCGGAGAGAACAGTCAACGTCTGGAGAGATTCTTGTGCAGATGCTAAATGCCCTCTCCAACAAACAAAACCGATAAAATGAAAGAAAGAGAGAGAAATCGAGTCTCCCTTTAATTATGGAATAGCTTGACCAAACATTAATATGCTAACATAATTAATAAGGAATAGCCTGTCCAAACATACTTACATGGTTATTAATTAGGAATACATCAACCAAACATTATGACATGCTAAAATGCTAATGAATAACAAATAGCTTGAGCAAACATTAACGCACTAATCTGCTAATTAATAAGGAAAAGCTTGACTAAACATGTTAATATGCTAACATGCTAATAATAGAAAATTTTGACATGCTAACGTAATGATTAATGAGCAATAGCTTGACCAACCGTTAACATGCTAACATGCTGATGCTGATTAATAAGAAATAGCTCAACCAAACATGCTAACATGGCTAATGATGAGTAGAAGCTAGTAGCCGCCAATTAGCATGATGTCACTGGTATAATGCCAACTAGTGGCTGTGTGACTGCATTCACTCTTAGCAACATTAGCATTTTGGGCAGACCGGTCCTTCAAAACGAGCCTTGGCAGCCAAACAAAGGCTTCGCCTGACTTTGTCATTTACCAAGTCCTCCATGTGCCCGCGAGCGTGCCAAAGTGTGTGTGTGTGTGTGTGTGTGTGTGTATCCCTCCGCAAGGCTTCAGCACCACATGCCACATCTCACGGGCACCTACTGCCACCAATTCGGTCGGACCGCTAAGCTCAGGACGCCCGTCAACCGGCCCAATCAAATCACCGCCTGTTTCGTCCCCTTGAGTGGAGCGCTCATCCACAGCCCATTCTTTCTTATCAGCTGCTATAAAAAGATCAAAGACCCCCAGCTAGTAACATGGCCGTTAATGAAAGCGGCAGGCAGCTGATGCAACACTGTGGCAAGGCTGCTGCAATACAGGCAGCTGAGCGCCGTTTCTCAAAGGATGACTTGTATGAATTATGCATCTATTAGAGTAAGCGCTCTCTCTCTCTCTTTAGCAGGTCACACCAATGTCTCTGTATACACAGAGAGAAAGACAGACACGGCCAAAAGATGCTTCATACTAAACTCTGATAAAACAGAAGTGCTGCTGTTGGGTCCACTCGAAGTAAGGTTGCAGATATTATCCACGACTTCAGTGGTTTTCTGGTTGCTAGTTTATCACTGGAGTTCCATTTCAGTAATATCCCTAAGACTGCATTTTATTACTCGAGAAACATTTCCAAGAACACATGCTATCTGCACAAGATGTGGAGAAATTAGTTCCTGCTTTCATGACTGCTAAACTGTAACGTGTTACTGAGCGGCTGCCCTGCTATCTCTAAATCGGCTCCAACTAGAATGCAGCAGCCAGTGTGCTGACCAGGAAAAGAAAGCTCCTGCATATGAGTCCGGTCTTCTTCAGTTTACACTGGCTCCCTGTTAAGTTCTGCAGCGACTACAAGGTCTTGCTTATTGCATTTAAAGCTCTTACTAGCCTAGCTCCATTTTATTGTACTGATCTGTTGAAGCATCATAGCTCGTCGAGGTGGGACGGCCTACTGCAAACACGTAGGATCTCCTACAGCTCAGTTAGGGGAAGATCATTTTTTATGAAGTTCCTAAACTGTGAAATAACCTTCCAGAAAATTAGGAATGCAAGCTCAATAGTTGTTTTTAAAGATCTAAAAAACATTTGTTCAGACCAGAAGTATTGTGGCTCATTTTCTCCTGTTTGCAGTTGTGCTGCTGTTTTCATTTAGAGCACAGTGTTTTTATTTTTCCAATGTTTTACTTATTTTCCTTTGTAAAGCACTTTGATACTGTGTAAGTAAAATGTGAAGTGCTACATGAATAAAGATTTATTTTTGTTATAACACATTTTTTTCACTTTCAGAAGTTCAGATACTATCATTTATTAAAAGAGTACTCTAGCATTTTCAAACATAATCTGCAGTCGCATGCAAAAATTTGGGTACCACTGGCCAAATTAATTTTTTTTAAGTGAAAAAAGTTAACATATCATCTACAGAGAACACAAATTTTAATGCACTTGCGATTACTGTTTATTTGCTCAATTTAACAAACTGGGAAAAAAATATATATTTTATGTTTTTTTTCCCCTAATATGTTAAACTCGATATGTAAAATAGAAATTGTCACTAAAATTGGCAGTAAAATATCTCATGTTTAAGTTTATTCTCTGTAGAGGATGTTTTAACTTATTTCTGCTTAGAAAATCAACAAAACATGTCATTTGACTGGGAATGTTCAAAAATTTGCATACAGCTATATGTCTGCCACATCTGTAGCATATTGTTGATTTACCATGGATTTACTGCACTTAGTAAAAGAAACTTCAAACATGTTGACAAACATTCAGTAGAACTGAATAGAATAGAAGCCAAAAGAAGCCAATGAGCAAGTATGATGAATGTGTTTTGAGCCAACAGGTTTTCTTTTCATTTCATTAAGTAATCAGAAATTACTGTCAGTGGTAATGAATGGCATAGATGTGGCAGATAGAAATTATGCTAAAAAATGTGAGAGTATTCCTTTAACTATCCTGACCCATATGTCTATAGGACGTACATTAAACAGACAAGTTTGGCCGTCCTTCACTTTTCAGGCCTCTTCACCCATTACAGTCTGACTTTATTCACTTTCATACTGCTGGCCTGCCTCATACAATTAACCTTGCAATTGTGTTTGTGCTCCAGAACATGTACGGATGACCGTCTCTTCACAGTGCTGATGTATAGAAGTAGGTCAACCAATCACTGCAGATTTCTGAACGACAACTGCCATATATACACAAATTTCACTGCTTGCCAGTCAGACAAGCCAGTGTAAGCTGCCTGGTGCAGAACACTAGTAAAATGGCCCTTATCATGCAAATCTCATTTGTCCTTGCCCTTTTTGAAATAAGGGTTTGGTGTAGGATGCAAACAAAGTTTCAAGGCATACTGTTCATTCCCAAGTCCATACAGTCTAGATATGGAACTATGCTGCAAAAATAGCTTTCAAATTCACTATATTCTGTGATGTCGTGAAAACCAACATATTTATATATATATCCTCCTATTTAGCTTACAGCCGTTTAGCCCCACCCATTTATGTTGAAGTTATAAGCAGTGTTTGTTCTGTGTCACATTAAGGAGAAAAATCAGTTTTGTGCCCCTTCAGTTTGGTAATGTAAACAGAGCTTAGGACTGTTTTTGTTACATAAACCCACATACAGTGGAGTCCAAAAATCTGAGACCACATTGGAAATCTCATTGAAACTGGGAAATAAACAAATAGTTTTAGAATCTTGAAACATTTAAAACAAATAAAAGTTCTGAGAATTAAAAAGAAGAAATACTTGAAATTTTGCACTATTTCTAGGCCACTTTGTACAAAAAGGTTAGATTTTTTTGTCTTATTCTTTCCATTAAAATACATGCTCAGATGACTCTCAGGTGGATTCAACCTATTTATCAAAGGCTTTTGTGCAAACTTACAGAGTCCATGCCAGCTTGAGCACATGTTGTCATTGAAGCAAAACTAAAAAAGCCATACTAAATACTAAGACACTTTCACCAGTTGTCTCAGACTTTTGGACTGTATATGTTATGGACCTCAGAGGAAAAAATAAAGGAATACTCTAACACTGTTCAATCTAATTTCTGTCTACCGCATCTATAGCATATGTTTTATTATCACAGACAGTAATTTTCATGTACTTTGCAAAAGAAGAGAAATCCTACTGACTCAAGGCATTTATAATAGCAGCCTATTGGCAGGTGATGTCTATTGGCTTCCATTGTTACTGTGTTTCAAGTGAATGTTTTTTAATCTATGTGTAAGGAAATGTTAGAATTACTGTAATTGTAATCAGCAGTAATGCACAGACAGAGCTGGAATATTCTATTATAAATCATACACGCATTCATTCAGATAATGCATAGCATGTCTATTAGTCCTCTAAATAAGACTATGTCTGGATGTCTGGCTAAGTAATACATACTGATCTGCTGCCCCGCCCCCCCATAGTCATGATGTAGTACAATCTCTAGAGGGGTGGGATGAGAGTGTAATATAATCCTAGTGTGGTGCTGTGGCTGACATTAGCAGTGGGACAGGGAGGGGGGATGGGAAAAAGAGAGAGAGATAGACGGCGATAGAGAGAGCATGACAGAGAGCATGGGGTGGGTATGCCCAGCTGTGCAGTGGGCCTGGGGCCCACCGGCCCGTAATTATGGCTGGATTAAAAGGGGCTCTCTCCCCATCCAGGCTGCCAAACATTTTGTCCCAGATTACGGCCCAGCTGCAGCGCCGTTAAGCTGTGCAAGTCGGTCAGTGGCTGCTTTCTCTCCTCTCAGAAGCCTCCCAGAGCGGCAGCCCACCACTCCCCCACAGCACACACACTTCCATACACACACTATGAGTCTGATTTGCATGAATTACTTTTTAAGCTTTGCATGGAACACCAACGACCAATAAAGAAACACATCAACACACATGAGATCTGAAGGATCCGTTTTATTTTTATTCCATCTCAAACCCGGGAGCCGGTCAGGAACATATGAGCAGAATTATGGCACGTTCAACATTTACAACGTGGCTTAAGGCCCGTTCGTGGAGCTCAGTGTTGCCCTATATAACACCAATTTAAGGGATCAGCTTTCTTTCCCTGCTACTCATACTTCACACTTCATTCAGTCTTCTTCTTAATCCCTCTGAATCTGGAGCAGACAGTGTAATTGGTTTTGCAACAAAAAAATGAATGAGAAAAAAGTCTTGCTGTGCGTCGTACAGTACTTCCGGAAATGGGTGGGGCCTAATTGCTGGTAAATTCTCCGCCAGTTCCTCGATCCTCAGCTTCAGAGGGACGACTTCAGAACCTCAAAGACCTTCAGGGCAGACTCGACGCAGCCGTCGAAATTGGAGTGTGTGAAGGCGTCGCCCCCACACACCAGCAGAGGCTTGGAGAGCAGCGTGATTTGCCCTGGGCAGTCAGTCACCGATCCCGTCACCTAATTAGGGAACAACACAATCGAGCGCGCGAGGCATTAGTGCTGCACTAACGATCCGCCTTCCAATAGCTGATGCAACCTCCATCTTTTGCTGCTATTGAGTGGGGCTGTACGCTCGCTTGTCCCAGATAACCTACATCTCGCCTGCACTGAAAACTGGAAAGCTCCTTTTCTGTAGCTGACTCATATTGTAACAGGAATGAAAAAAATTAAACATAAAATGTCGCCTGTGCAAAAGTTATAGCACATTTTATATTTTCCCTTTTTTCTCCCAATATGTTAAACTCAGCAAACAAATCTAAATTGTGCACTACATTTTGCAGAAAAGGACGCGTTAACTTCTTTTCACTTTGAAAATCAACAAAACATGTCACTTGATCAGGGGTGTTCAAACTTTTGCATACAGCAGAGTAGGGTTCTTTACATGTGGAAAAATCGTGATGGTGAAATGAATAAAAGAGAAAATAAAAGAGGGCATTTCAACAAGTAAATAAGCTTAGTTTGGTTGAAAAAAAAAATCTGAAATACCATAACTGTTGTAATTATATTAATTAATATATATATATATATATATATATATATATATATATTAATATTATATTAATATTATATTAATAATAATTATATTATTATAGCCTTATTTTTGAGCAGGACATGAGACTGTATCCCTGTCCCTCAGGGCTGCATGGTGAGCAGTTAGATCCCACTGTTTTGAAGTAAATGTGTCCCAAAGTCTGGAAATCAGTGTGTAACTTTAAGAATTGTCATTACCGATACACATATTTTCTGGAATTAAACTTTTTTTGTGTTTTAATGACTTTTTTCAATAATTTTATGTGCAACTGTTTGAAGCTGTGTTTGTGTTTGTCATGTACTGGATAGTATTGTAGTTCTGCTCAAAATGACCTAAAACAGCCCCTACTGAAACATCTGATACAGTTTTGGTAGTGTTATGATTTTGTCTTAGTGACAAAATGGAATGTTCAATCATTTGTTTTAAAATAATGATCACAATTAAGGTACAGGGTCATTCAAAGCATTAGGATTTTAGTCTAAAGTCAGAGTCAGTTAAAAGTCTGAAATGTGTTTTAAACTCTGACTTTGACCCAATTTGGTAGAATGATTCATATATGCTGATGCATACATATCCATGTATGCTCTAGAACACAGAATGAATTTTGGTGCACATACACGAGGTGTACAAAATAACAGATGCACCCCATGAAATACTCATACTCGCTGGCCATTTTATCAGGTAATCCACGCATGTAGGTGCATTTTGTAGGTTTACAGTCAGTCCATCTGTTCATGCACAATGTGTCAGCTTCCATTTACCCTGCCAATCAATGGAAAAGGGTCACCACAGGACCACCGCTGACTAGATATTATTTAAGTGGTGGATCATTCTCAGCACTGCAGTGACACCAACATGATAGAGGCATGTTAGTGTGTGTTGTGCTGGTATAAGTGGATCAGACAGAGCAGTGCTGATGAAGTTTTTAAACACTGGGCCTACCTTGTAGATGTAAAGTTAGAGACCATAGCTCATCTGTTGATGCACAGCATGTCTAAGTCATTTCTAGCTCTTCATCAGTGGTCCGTATCTATCCACAGGACCACACTGAGCTGGATGTTTGTGGACTATTCTCACTCCAAAATTGCATATACTTGTAACAGCACCAACAGTTACTGTAAACCTACCAGGTGCACCTTGTCAAAGTTTGGGAGCCCCTGGTCATATATTTTGTTCATTTTCTAAGTGAAAATAAACAGATATCCTTTACAGAGACCACACATCTGCACATTTAATACACAATTACTGTTTATTTGCTAAATTTAACATATTGAAAAAATATATATATAAAATAAGGCCTGAGCAAAAGATATGCCACATTTTACATTTTAATTTTCTCAATATATTAAACTCAATGCCATAATTAAGTGTGTAAAATGTGTAAATTACTTACACTTAGAAAATCAACAAAATATTTACATTTTATGGTTAATTTTTGCATACAGCTGTATATGGTAGGTGTACCTGTTGAAATAGCCAATAAGTATTTTATGTAGTGCTTCTGTTATTTAGTATAAAATTATTCTAATATGAATAAATGTGAATAAAATTATTAATATATGATACCAGTACAATATAACTTCATATGTTTGAAATAATTCATAGAATTAAAAAACAAAAATTAGACGTATCCAAAATGATGGAGATGATTCTATAATAACTGAGAAATCTGTAAATCTAGAATGTTATAATATTATAGAAGCTATGAGAAAATAAACATTTAGAATGCATCATATATCAAAAGTGGTGATCAAATGTCAAGCAGATAAACTGACAATAATTACTATAATTAGACAATCACAGATCATTATTTATCATTTAGTATTTTCATGAAATATAAAATAAAACATCCAAAATATCTTCTAATACTAAATCTACAGTGTATTATTGTTGGAAGTTTTCAAATAAAATGCCAACAATTATTAATATGACCAATTTCCAGACTTTTGCATTCAACTGTTTTTTTTAGCAAAATTTAACTATTTTGTCCCACAACTCTGAGCACTTTCTCTGTAAGTCTTCAGTGAGACACTGAACAGTAATATGAGACTGTTGTAGTGAAGTAAAGAGATGGATCAGAGCCCATAGTCAGAGAGCTCCTCTCTTATCTCTGTCATTTGCAACAGCCATCTCGCTCCGTCCGTCTGCCTGCAGGGTGGGTCTGCCTCAGCAGGGCGGAGGCCACTCGCTATGTTTCGAATTGGCTCAGCAGACCACAGATATCAACGGCCTGATTGCGAGCTTGGCCTGCAGGCTGAGGCTGACGACACATCGCCTCACCAAGCGCAGACACCTGGGCCATGCCTGACAGATGGGTTTGACTCATGCTTTACAATGAGCAGAGGTTTGGACTCAGATTTCCACTGACGGCTTGTGAATTAAACCAACAAAGGTTGAGGGAATGACCAACCCAGTAAATAAAATCATGAGTCATATGATAAATGGTCATACGATAAAAGCCACAGAGGCTTGTCCGGCTATACTTGCTATTCTTCTGAGCTACAAGTTAAAGCGGTAATGAGTGAGTGAGTTTTATCAGGGCAGATAGGGATGGGACAATCTAAACTGAGATGAATCATTTTCAAACCTCATTAACCTTTACAAGTCACTGTTATTGCCGGAGATATCAAATGCATGGTGTAATTTTATATTAATTATTTCTCACTCGTAGCTCACTAAAACAGGTGGAGAAATTCCATCAAAGAGTCCTAAACTTTCAATCACAATGTGCATACATTTGTGTTCATAAGAACAAGAGATGTTTTTACATATTGCTGCAGTCAAATAAATAATAAATAAATTAATAAAACAAGTATATGCAAAATGTTAACTTCACAGGAGAGGGCAAAAATGTTCTTTACTTGTAATGTCAATGTAAAGAGATTATTTTCAAAGTAACTGTTTTCAAAATAGTTTCATTTTTCTTTTTTTTTGGTCCATTCATCATGAAATTTTGACACGATGTAAAGGACAGTTGTGGGCTGAAATGATGCAGGATAACAAGAAAATTCATAGTTTTTTGGACAGCTATGACATACACTATATTGCCAAAAGTATTCATTCACCCATCCAAATCACTGAATTCAGGAATTCCTATCACTTCTATGGCCACAGGTGTATAAAACCAAGCACCTAGGCATGCAGACTGCTTCTACAAACATTTGTGAAAGAATGGGTCGCTCTCAGGAGCTCAGTGAATTCCAGCATGGTACCGTGATAGGATGCCATCTGTGCAACAAGTCCAGTCGTGAAATTTCCTCGCTAATAAAAGTGGAAGCGATTGGGAATGACAGAAACTCAGCCATGAAGTGGTAGGCCATGTAAAATGATAGAGCGGGGTCAGCGGATGCTGAGGCGCATAATGCACAGAGGTCACCAGCTTTCTGCAGAGTCAATCGCTGCAGACCTCCAAGCTTCATGGAATGGGTTTCCATGGCCGAGCAGCAAAGCGCAATGCAAAGCATCGAATGTAGTGGTGTAAAGCGCCGCCACTGGACTCTAGAGCAGTGGAGACGTGTTCTCTGGAATGACGAATCACGCTTCTCCGTCTAGCAATCGGATGGATGAGTCTGGGTTTGGCGGTTGCCAGGAGAACGGTACTTGTCTGACTGCATTGTGCCAAGTGTAAAGTTTGGTGGAGGGGGATTATGGCGTGGGGTTGTTTTTCAGGAGTTGGGCTCGGCCCCTTGGTTCCAGTGAAAGGAACTCTTAATGCTTCAGCAGACCAGAGATTTTGAACAATTTCATGCTCCCAACTTTGTGGGAACAGTTTGGGGATGGCCCCTTACTGTTCCAACATGACTGCGCACCAGTGCACAAAGCAAGGTCCATAAAGACATGGATGAGCGAGTTGGGTGTGGAAGAACTTGACTGGCCCGCACAGAGTCCTGACCTCAACCTGACAGAACACCTTTGGGATGAATTAGAGCAGAGACTGCGAGCCAGGCCGTCTTGTCCAACATCAGTGTCTGACCTCACAAATGCGCTTCTGGAAGAATGGTCAAAAATTCCCATAAACACACTCCTAAACCTTGTGGAAAGCCTTCCCAGAAGAGTTGAAGCTGTTATAGCTGCAAAGGGTGGGCCAACATCATATTAAACCCTATGGATTAAGCATGGGATGTCACTCAAGTTCATATGCGTGTGAAGGCAGACGAGCGAATACTTTTGGCAATATAGTGTATATAATTACATTGCACAACGAATGTAAATGTACATTCATAATTATGTAATAAAGTAATTACATATATACATGGATAGTTACGGTCTTAAAATCTGATTGGCTGAGCTACATTATAAGCTGCTGCAAAATACTCAATGTATGCACGCCTATGTCCTATTAACAACAACTAAACTCTGTATTAATGTGCCAAGACACTCAAAACACTTGTGCTATGAATGGACTTTTATGTTACTCACATCCCTG